TGACTTCTCTTTTTCACTAAATTCCTTTTACACATGCTGTGTCACGACGAGGCGTTGTTGCAAAATTTTCCCTTTCAGTGAGATGAGATCAAACAAAAGGACTTGACAGCGATCACGCAATGCATGTGACAGTCACACCCCAGGTTCTGGTTTAAGATCATTTTCGAGAATAACCGAATTTTTGGACTAAGGGAAAAAGACATAAATAGCCTTATATAAAGCCAAGGTGAGAGTTTAGGATCCTTGAGTAAGTTAGTTCCACAAGAGAAATAACAGATCTTGCAAGAACATGTATCTCTTAGGAGAGGGGATCATTCACGAGAAGTCATGTCTCGAAGCAACCTTTCAAACAAGATGAAGCAGCCTTTGGCAGATTTAACTTGGATAAAGCTTTGGCATTTTTTTAACATTTCCAAAAAGCAATACATAATAAGAACAACACCAGTGTTGGCTTCCTCAAGGATAAATAATTAGGTGCGTGGGTTCTTGCAATCTGCTTGCCGCGTGGGTGTTACATTGAGTTCCCACTAAATCGAATTCATGTCCTCATTCTTCTCCCATGATTAAATTGTTTCACCGTTTTCCTCCTCGTAGCAGCGTGTATAAATGTATTTTTACTAGTTCAGCGGTCAGCATTCAGAGTTGTCTATATTAAATTATTTGTTATTTTGTCAATAGATGGGAACTTCAAAATTGTTATCCTACTTCTTCAAGTTAAGGTCTAGACCAAAAAGATTTTGGTTTTCGGTAGGAATAAGTAGAGTACCAACTCCTATGTGGATTCCTAAATAAGCAAGAAAGACTCTTAAGTAGTTTAGAAGCCTGAATCTGCAGATAGGAGAAATTGCTCGCTCGATATAGGCAAAAGTGTACCCCGAACGTTTCTTTGAACAGTTGGTTCGACAGAAAACCGAAAGGAATGTGGACTAAATTTATGATCCATACGTTAAGAAACCGTTATAGTTCTCGAGAGATTTCAAAACAAAGTAAGCCAAGTTGTAAGCTAAAATTTTCTTTTGTCAGTTAAACCGGGCAAACTAAATCAGTGCTTTTATTATATTGGCTACCTAATGAAAAGAAAACCACAAGGAAGCTGCAAGGATTTTGTATGATCGTTACCATGCAATGTAATTCCAATGTACAAACTCAGCGTCATTCAGGGTTAGATTTGTTTTATAGGAACAGAACGAGAAGATTTTTTGCTTCCTGGCAGTTACTTCTCACTCTTCGGACCCGTTTATTAGAGATTTAGGACTTCTTATAAATCGAATAGTTCAAGACTATTTAACAAGTTTAATATCATCACGACTGCAAATTGTAATCGCGATATTTAGTAAAAGAAGAATTCAGACACAGATTGTAATTCAAAAGCTGATCTTGACTCTTGTCAGATAATTTCTTGACAGGTATATTTCGTCAGGAAGGGGCACTTCTAAGAAGCGTTCGGTGGGAGTTAGGCATAAAGAAGAAAAGAACAGGTAGACTTGTTTTTAACAACAATAATTATTTAATGCTTAGTCGGGTGTTACATGGTTAAGACCCCTGTAAGGGATAAATCATTGCCTCGAAATTGTCATTCGTATGGATCAAAACTTGGTTTGCAAAAGTCTCACTCTCTACAAGGAGAACGGATTTCACAAACAAACAAACCAAGCAAGCCTAAGAACGTAATTTATAACAGACAGCCGAAGCTGCCGCGGTGTAACAAGCATGTGCGTAATCAATCGCAAACGCCGAAGTCGTCTTCTTTCTGCTATTGCTTCCGTTTAGCATACCTCAACCATCCTCAATATCTTAGCAAGTCTGACCTATCCTTTGCTCATGGCGAAATACGTTAAAGCTTGTCGAGTGATATTAAGTATTTTGACGTGGTTTGATCATGCTATTGACCGATATTGACAGATATTGTACCGTTAAACAAACAAATACTCAATGATGGACAAAGGATAGAGCAAAATATGCCAGCGTTTGTTTAAACCGAATTTAATTTTGGTTTGCTTAGAGTTTTGGCTTACAGTGAAATAAAAACACATTAGCCGCCTGAAAAAAAAAATGCAATAAATGTAATAAATATGCAATAAATATGTTAAATCTAATAAATATTCCTCTTATACCTGGTACGAAGTAAAGTAGTATACTGAAGCTAAAAATGTATTACAATGCTGTTTCTTGCATGTTTTAGACCTCCATAAAATATCTTTTAGAATCAAGACTGCCATTAATTCAACAAAACTTTGCAGTGATATTAGTAAACTAACTTCAATTTCTTAGAATTTTGAGTGACCAATATCATTTTTAATTATTTCCTCAATTAAGTCCTAATTTTCTGAAAACTTCTGCTCGCTCAGCCACCGCAATAAATTTTCTCGTTTAGACTCGTCCTCCTCAAAGCGGCTTTCTTCTTGTTCTATGTGCTCTTGGAAGACTCGTCTTCGTTCGTTAGAAGTTGTATACAACGGTCTCGATGTTTCCCTTGAAATATCGTTAACAGGTTTCGAAATTATTTTTTTCTTAAGCTCAGTTCTATCGAGAAGAAGACTGCTTCTTGGAGAGATATCTGGACGTAACTTTGGAAGTTGAAAAGTCTGTTTATTTTGTGCTTCACTGACTTGACGCTGACTCTTCAGATCAAACATTTGCGAGGCGATAATGTTGTCTTCTGATCGTGATCGGTTGTCAAACGCTAAGGGTTTGAGATGGCTTGTAGTCAAGGGTGTACTCCTGGTGCCATCGCTTCGGTGCATGCGTGCTATGCGGTGGTAATCCCTGTTTTCCCACTGTTGGTCATCATGTTGTATCTCCTCCCTTCTTCTTACCTTAAGCTTCAATTCTTTCCTTTGCATGGCCCTTGCTGCTTGTTAACTTGTTTGGCTTTTTGAAAAATAAGAAAAAAAGCACTAAAAGGTCATTTAATGATATAAAAGGAGTACTTTTGTGCAAATTGATTGTTTTCCTCAACGGTCGTGTTTCATGATCAGTCGCTGTTCTGGCATGAACGAGCTACAAGGATATCAACTCTAAATGTTGACAGAATATAGCACGATTAATCACGGTTCCTAGAAAGTTGAGCCCAATATAATAAATAGCGTTTGTGCGACACAGGTTAAGAACTCGAATAATATAATGGGTGACAAATTACTGCTTAACTTTGGCGCAAAACTTCAACGTTGATTACTAATTTAACATGTGAAGTTACACAATTGCCTCGCCTTGCCTTGCGCGCAAATTGCCTTGGCGCGAAATTTCTTGATACAAATGCAATAAACAAGTCAAAAAATCGATGATTCTTAGCGTAATTTTTCACCCATGATATTAAAAGACAGTCAGTTGATGAAGAGTTAAATTAGGAAATAATTTCACGTACGTTTTGTCAAAATTGTAATAATTTCCTGAGCCTTTTATTTTACATGAGAATGTGTAGGTTAATTTGCACTTTGCCAGCCAGAAAATTTGTATATTACACACAAAGAACTAAACGCCTCACAGAGTAAAGTACGATCATCAATAGATGATCAAAGCTGTAGAATATGACTACTGTCTTGTTTTTAGTATTTTGAACTTTAAGAGATAAACTTTGCACAATATTTTCAATTGACATGACATAGCAGTTTTTAATGCCCCGTGGCTCAAGATAAATGACCGATATTAGCTTTATAAATAAAAACTAATGATAGCTTATTCGCTCATTCATTTTTTTTTAGTCAGTAATTTCAAGTCACACGTTTTGTACAATGATTGTCACATTGGTGATTTTGATTGGGTATATTTGTTCCAAAAGAAATGTTCACGAGTCTAACACGTTTGTAAAGTCACAGTTACGGGTTAAGTCGTTCTTGTACTGGCCTTGGAAAGATAGTATGGGATATCAGCAGTATTGATTCAAGAGTAGCAAACCCATTATCAATGAAAAATCTTGACTTACAAGCTGTCTCTAAACTTTAAACCGCAAATGGCTCCGGCATAGCAAATCAAGGAGTCCATAAAACAAACAGAACATTCAAGACTCATATCGGAAAAGACACCGACGCTAAACGCAGGCGGCCCAATTGTCAACTTGATGCGCTGACTAGCTCAGCCATGTCATCTCAGTAAACTTAGTACAGTTGTTTAAACGTAAATTCAAATGAAGCAGCGTCACAAGAATTACCTAGAGAAAGTATGAGGTCAAAACAAAAACCAAACCTTGTATATGGCTTTTAAACTCGGTGTTCCAGCTTGTAAAGGAGGAATGACTTTAAAGCTAATCAATGTTCTTCACTGTAAAGGATGACGCACGAAAAACTCGTGCCGTTTGAGCTGACGCGTTAGCTAAAACTAACGTAGAAAACGAATCACCGCTTCGTGAAAGCCGCCAATAAGTACCATCAGTCTTAATTAAATTAATACGTATGTTGTTATCGCTATGACAAAGTGTTCCTATGGCTTACTGGCGTTGGCAAGGAAAGGAGAGAGGACATCTCTGGGTATACACGCATGTGTCAGTCACTGGGTTAGGATCGAAAGCGTCTAGATTCTGCAACAATGGGTCTTCTGTAGGCAGTTTCAATTTCACTCCAAAAGTCTAAGACTGGGTGTGTTTTACCAGTTCAATGACTCTTCTCGACGAAGCTTCACGAGATTCAGCAGAGTCAATCGAGATGAACACTGACGCATTTCCGGTCTGTTTGGAATGACCAAACGTCTGGGAAAGGGCTACACCCCCATCATAGCATTAAGGAATCCATCCCCCTCATAATACGTACGTTTCTCGAGGTGTTTCTTGCTAAGGTTTACAAGTAACCCGAGAATAAAAATCACGCTACATCGATATGGATTGAAATAATTTCTGAGAACTAGTTTGTCAGTTTTGAAAGAAAGTGTTGGGTCTGAAAGGAGTCAGACTGCTTCACCGCAAAGTTCTTCAATTCTGACATTCGCCAGCCGCTTCTCGTAGTCACCGTGCTGATGCTTTGGAAACTATTTCTTCTTTCACCCATACAACTGTGGCGTAATTCCTTAAGAAAGAACATGATATTATATTTAGTAAGTTCAGGTCCTGTGCTCGAAATGTGGGCATCCCATACCGCGCTATTGCATCACAGTGTAGTTAACAATTATTGTTTTCTAGTAAGACTTTGCAAAACAGAAGGCATCATGGCTGCTGAAAATAAACAAGATCATGGTAAACAGCAAAATGGTTTCAATAAATTGATACAAAACAAAGAGGTACCATAAAGTAGCAGTTATTTTCCATAGATATTTCGTAAAATGTCTCAATTTGTCATCTTTTGAATTTCCGTCTGTAGGAAATTAAAGGATTTGACTTTCATTCCAGTATCGTTGTTGTCAAGAGCTCTAAGGCTTAGACTTTGTAGTTTTATTTTTAGAAACTGTTGTTTGTTAAATACACGTGCACATCTGCCGAAGGTGCTTCTAATTTAGGCGCGTTGTGTATATTGAACAGTTGGAAGCAACAATGGTGCGCTTAGTCAAAGTGACGTTTTGGTTATAATTTATTTCATTCAGCTGTTTACCTCTTGGGAATTCAAAGCTAATCCTATTGATTCTCTCTTTCATGCAGATCTCTATAAAGAGCGACAATTTTTAAAAAAGGTAAGATTTGGATGAATTTTAAGCTCCAAGCGAATAAGAAAAAGAAAATGAAGGAAAAATTTAACAGGTGCCATGTGCTATAATTAAGCATAAATTCGCATAAAAAGCAAAAAGTATTATTTTCCTTCATTTTCTTCTCTAATCGTTGGAAAACAACTTATTTTAAAGCGGCTTGATAATCTTCGCCGCTTGAAATGTTTAGCGTACCAGCAAGGAAGGCTTCAAGTGTGACAATATTCCGAGCGTATTTGTTTCAAAGCATTAAAAAGAATTGATGCTCACTCATTTTCCGAGTCATCTCAAGGTCAATGCAAAATTCAATATTGGCACCATTTTTAACTTTTTTGTTTAGGATTTGCAGCATAAAATCGGTAAAATTAATATCAAACTACAATAACATTTGCTCGGCGTAAAGTTTATGGATGGTGTATTCCAAGGCCCATTGCCTCGCAAGTTTATTACCAGCGATAGACGAGATACCGATCGGCCTAATGTAAATTCTCGTTTTTAGTGCAAGTATTATACATTTGTGTTAATGGTTGAAGGCAGAACTAAACTGTTACCCCACACAAGCAGCAAGAAGGCATCACTGACCGAAAGCTGACTTTGCCTGGTAGGGCAAGTCAGTGTAACATAATATTTTTTTCGTGCCAAAGTCCTATTTTCATTTTACGAAACGAATTAATAATGCATTAAATGTTTGTTCCCAGGCTGTATCTTTTTCTGGAATAAGCCCGAGAAAGAAAGGATGAGTCCACAGTTTCAACTACTCTATTTTCTTCTGAAACTAATTTGCCTTATTAAAAGCCCAGCAAGGGTATAAGTATGCTGGCTTTCCAGCTGTGAAACAATTCACAATCTTTAACAGTTACGTAAACATCTGATGGCCCAAAAAATAGAAATAGTTACAAGAACTCAACGACATTTGAGTTACTCACTTCGCGATCACGTCATTGGATTCTAAATTGTACGTCTCCGAAAACGCCCAAATAATCACTTGTGATTTTTTTCAAGCCAAACGCACTTTAGTTTAGTTCGTGATTTTAGATTCCGTTAACTCCTGAGTGCTGTGTTTGTCTATTTCACTTTATTGAAGGTCTGATAATCGACTTGTTCAATTTAGGTACCACAAACTCTTCAACAAAAGAACTGTTTTCATATACACGTATGATATCTTGAAAACCAAGTTTACTAACAAAGCCACTGTTTTTCTTTTTCCCTAGGATATGAAAATGACGATGGAAGAAGATCAAACAAAATTCACAAAGCTCTTCGTTGGAGGAATTCCTTATCACTCAGCTGACGAAACACTAAAAGAGTACTTTGAACAGTTTGATGACATTGTGGAAGCGGTAATCATCCGAGAACGAAACAGTCAAAGATCCAAGGGATATGGATTTGTAAGTTATTCTGTCTTTCTTAATAAAATCTGTTTAATGAAATTACTTTCTCGATGCGTCATATGATCTGGTAACCAGTTTTGATGACATGAATCCTAGCTCTGATTCTGAGTCTGATCAGTTCTCGCATGAAAAGCATAACGCAAATTATTGGATTCCATGAGATTTCTCAGAGAATACAAGTGCAACGACGCAAGAAGTAGCATTTAGCAACCAGCCCGCAAGGTGTTCAGCCCCGTGCATGTTCTTTCTAGTTGTATCAATGCTTTCTGCCAACTAAATCTCTTAAACGCAATTTGGATGGCTTCATGCACTGTGCGGCAGACAGTACAGTTTCTGTTCACCTACATGTGACTGATCTTTGCCCTTTTTTATAAGGTTACCATGGCCACAAAGGAAGGCGCCGAGAGAGCCTGCGTGAACAAGAGACCAATCATTGATGGCAGACGGGCCAATGTTGACCTCGCTTACCTCGGTGCGAAGCCCAAAACCACCACTGAGGGTGCCGCCACCGACGGTGCTGCCACCAACGGTACTGCCACCGAGGGTACTGCCACCCCAGAGTGTCCTAGTGCTCCCTCTTCGCCAACGGGCAGACAAGCAAATGTCGACCTGACCAACCTCGAGGCAAGGCCAAAATCCCGGCAAGATCATACTGCCACTCCAGAATGCTCCAGTGCTTCACCTTTGACAGCGCCTTTTGAGATGGTTAGCGCAACAGACAGTGGTTCAACTCAATGGGCATCTGAAGAGCATTTTCCAAATTACAGCACAGTGCCAAATAAGCACAAGTATGAGTCTAGACATCCCGCTCAGCTAAAACCTACACGAGTCAGCGGCATGCAGGCTGTCATCCCCAATCCGCCCCTCTTGAACACAATGATCTACTACCAAGGAAACATGCCCCCTTATTCACCACCTGGCAACGTGGTCCCTGTTGATCCAAATTTTCTGGATCAAACTACTACGTTTAATTTTGTCACTTTTATGCCGGCGCAAGGCTCTGTGGCTCCTCCAATACAGAATACGAATATCAGTATGCAGTACCTTCCACACTTTGGCCAAGTTCCTCCCCAACCAAGTGCAACAGAGCTGATATCCAGCCCTCGCTTCATCTACTCTGTACCTGTGTGGTACGTTGAACAAGGAGGGGTGCCCTGTGGGCCAGTAAGCTTGGAGCCTCTGTCGAGGTATTCTCGAGCGCCTTTGATTTCTGCTGAGATCGATGGAAACAACAACGGCGGCTTTTCTGCTTGCAAAATGTACCCCACTGCATCGTATTATTAACATCATGACGTTTCTTTTTTTTTATTTATGTCTAGCTTTCTCTGAAGTTAGCGCTTAAAGGAACATTGAGTAGATATCTCCAAAACGTGAAACGTAGTAAGAGTTACTAAAAATTAAGATAGGCACTGAATAAGCTTAATGGCGATAAAGATACGTTTTGCAGAAGAAACCGTCGGAATTTCAACCAGCAATAGATCAATACAACGGAGAGCATGAGCATTTTTCGTCTCTGCAAATAAATCAGAAAATCGTAGCTGAAAGTGCCTTTCCCAATACAAGTCGCTGCATCATTATAAATGTTTTAACATGGATAGTCAGTATTTTAGGAACTCGTGGTAGATAACAGAGCTAACTGGACCATCAAAATTGACCTTGCTCAATCCGAGCAGTTCAGCCTTTCGCTATTTAATCAGTTTAAAAATAACTTACGTTTTTAGCCAATGGTGCATCATGATCACCAAGACCGTTTCTTCTTAATTTATTAACACAATTCAGGAAACATTCTATAAACTTCAAATGCCAAACCATCATATTGTAATACACTAAACTCGTCATTCTAAAATGGGAGAAGCCATGTCTCTTATCTGCTTTGCGTTGGTTCCAGGAAATAATTGGTAGACAAGAAACTATAGTCTCTATGTAAAAATAATTTTAAGTTCCAGCATTCAAATTTCTGGCCTTAAGAGATGCTGCAAATCGATATGTGTATATTAAGGTAAATTATAATTAAGATTAGTGATAATCAAAAATTAAATCATAGTTGCCAGTATTATTAACTGGATTCAGTTTTAGCCGGCGCCAGTTATTTACTAAGTGAAACATGGTAAAGATGCCTTATACTTCCGAGGACGACTTATCATTCGAGAAAAAAGGCTTGTGTAGGTTCGCCACTATTAAATGCCCTGTGGTTTACATGCACTCAGTAAGTTTTATACGACTTATACATTGTTATGCAATGTTTCGTTTTCCAGTTGTTTTTGTAGTTTTGTAGTAGCAGTTTGACTCGCAAAACCGATCTGTAAATTAGTTTCGTAGAATAATAAAATTAAGTTAATTCTAAGTATTGTACACATCCATTCTCACGTTTGCACCAGTATGTTACGCAAGAATAAGCTTATAATTAAAGATTAAATGGATATTTTCAGATTGAACCAGTCCTACATTTATTAAAGGTTTTGTGTTCATTGCAGGATTTTTAAAACTCAGTCGAAAAGTTACCAGGAGCTGCAGGAATCCGAGGCTCCTAAATGCAGTATCGCTTAATATACACCGTTTTTAGTCATAAGGAAGTTAGATACCCTCAAAGTGACATTGTAACATGAAATATCAAACTCATATGTGCATCAAATCAATGATTAGTGCTTATGCGCCCTCTGATTGGCCGCTCAAACTCCAGATAACTTCTACCGTATTTACCTTGTATAAATAATAATCTCGAGCACTGTACGAACCACGACTAACACATAGTAAAGCGGATCCCTTTCTATTGATGTTAAAGAAACCAGGGAGACTTCGTCCCAATGGATTAGTATATACCAATTAAGAAAAGATGATCGTCGTCTAGAGTATATACTCGACCAGTAATGCTGGCCTTTGACCGAAGCCTTTGTTGTCTGTCTTTACTGAAATATGCAAAACTACTACAAGTAATCTTGATGGCACTTCGAATCACGTGAATCAAAAATTGGACACTTTTATTAGAGTTAATGCAATTAATTGGTCAGGGACAGTTGCTAATACTATTGTCACGAAAGGCATGGATTAACTCTTTTATCGCTGATATTTTTTTTATGTTTAGACAAATAGTTGCAGAATAAATAGTTATTAGGTTAGAGATCATCAAGGCTTACCTCAAATGACTCTGATAACTCTTGTCCGCGCTTTGTTTGTTGTTATTGGTGATGCTGCAGTTTTTTTGTCGGGCTCGCAAGCCACAGTTAGCTTCGAAATTACCAATTCAAAGATGTCGTTATCACCAGAAACTTACGTGGAGTGTCTTTTATAAGGTCGGCTTTGAGTGGTGAGTACGTGATTTTGTGACGTAATGCTTCACGGTACTGACGTCATCGATAGCTACACAATGCATCTGCCGGTAATTGCACAATTCAGCTTTACATGGCTGTAAAGAGTATCTGAAACTCGCTGAGATCTGACAAGAATCCCGTTCAATTAGCAATCTTCTTCCGTTTAACTGGAGACACCAATCACACTATTGTCTTCATCAAACGTTAAATACTTTTAGTTTAATATTGTCGGCGGTTGTCTTGAGAGTGAGTTCTCTAGATAGGTTTTCAACAATGCACTTCAACTCATAAGCAAAAGGAAATAATGCAGCTAATATTACATATCGTTATTTGCATGTTTTCAAACAACTTGAGCCGATATTTTCATCAAAATGTAGAATCATCCAAAGCTGAATCGTTTGTCAGCCCAACACCGCTTTACAGACGTACAGTCGGAAAACTTGAACAGCTTATAACTAACAGTATGGTGATGGTTTGATTCCTTTCAGGACTTGAACTGATCTTCTGCTGTCTCACTCTGCACTTGCCAATACCTCACCTTGCACCAAATGTTCCTGAATAACTTTGAAAAGAATGTATGACAATCAGGCCACCAGAGAAGGAACTTTTCGAGTGGGTGTTATATCTTTAAGTTAAGGGTAAAACACTCATGCGGTTTTCCTACTTCTCAATATTGTCATGGGAAAGAAACAATAATGACAAATGCTGGAAAACATTTTTTAAACAAGTTTGTATATCCGTCTGCGGTTTACCGTGCTGTAACAGAAGATAACTATGTCAAAAGCATCAGATACGAGTTTCAGCGAGAGCCTCGAAAATTCTAATTTATTTGTTTTTAATGTCGTTTGGTTTCTTTTTATAGTACTGACGGTCAAACGAGGGTCACCATAACTACGACTTAGTTTTTTATTGTTGACTTCCGTCGATTGAAATGTCTCGCGCCACACAGCCTCTATACGTGAACCAAATCAATGACTCAGATGAATTTCCTTCAGTGAGGGATAACACCTGAAAGGTCAGCTTCTTCGTCAATAACATGTCTTTTTTTTTCTATTCGGTTCACTTTCAGAGAACACTGTGATTTCTTTCCTCTACTGATTTTTTATCCATTATACTTTTGAATTTACTTTTTCGCAGGCTACTGAGTGTTACTGATTTTAATGGCTAACAAGTGTCGCGGCGTGGATTGATTGCATTATATTCGAATGAAGACTCCAGACGTTAGCGGCGAGCTTTGCAGAGAAAGGCATGGAAAGCTTCGGAAGGCCTTAAAAAAAGGGAACAAAAAACTCATCATGCCGACCAAGTTTATTCCGAATGTACTTTGGAACGGTCGACAACTACTCAAAAACTGAAACGGAAAGAAAAAAATTATAACTGTTGCGTTTCTTGGACCGTCGAACTTTCACCCCCGATTTCCTTCACGTAAACTGGGCATGACGTCACTGGAGTGAGCGAACGCGGCAGAGCGTGGAAGATGCTACACTTCGACAAGCTCGTGAAAAATATCACGGACGAGTAAGTGTAAAGAGGCTAGGCAGTGTCAGTATAAGCTTATCCCAGTTGGAAAGTGCGCTGTTTGAGTCGATTAGAACGTACTGAGCAGGAAGTCAATTGCTCCTTTGTGCGGAGTAAATTCTAGCATGGTATTGATCTAGTTTCCTGAATAATTGGGGTATCATATATATGGAAATGTCTTAGGATTTATCTGATTAGTGAAAAACATTGTTTAAAGCAATGATATCGAGCCACCGAGTGTGCGTTGAGATTTGTGGCTAAATGACAAATTCCTTCTCAGTTTACTGCTCCAATGAACTGCACTTACTGGTTCATCGTGCATTTACAATAATAAAATTCATTTTAATCCGTTTTATTTCTTTTATTTTGTTTTCCTGTATCTTCTTTGTGACAATCAGGCGGCCACTCTTACTTCAACAGCTACAGCCTATGCTTAGTCATTAGATGGTTCATCACATAAGAAAAAAAAGCTCTGACACAAAATGTTAACCGTCAGGTGGTTAGAAAGATTTATTGCTGTCATTAACTGCGGATAGAATAAATTAACTATTAACAATGGTTGAGCATTCACGTGGGTTTGCACCTTTAGAACTCCAAGGCGTCTGCCTGAATCACGTTAAACCTTTTAAAGATACCATTTAATACAAACAAAAGCTTCTTTGTTGAAATCAATAAAATAATCATGATAAAAAAGCAGAAATGTACCTACTTACGTACTTCTATTGAAAAAGAAATTCTAAATATATGAACAATACATATGCAAAGTTCCGATCACGGCTTCGCACACACGACAAAGGAAAAAGCTAAACGGATTTTCGAAAAAACAATGTTAGGATAAAAATGTCACCTCTCGAAATTTGTAAGAAGTGTCAGTTATTTTAGGAAATTATAAGTTGTCATGTCGCATGTTTTACGGCCGGATTCGCCGCCAGTAGGTAGCGGTGACGTGCACCCTGACGTCATGGCTGTTGTTTTGTTCTCTTAGGATTAAATCCACTCGGAGCACTAAACAGCATGCAAAGATTGATTTCATTGCACAGTTACAAAATCACAGAGAAAATGTCAGCCGAGTTTATCTAAACAAGACACAGAAATGAACGAAGTGAAACGGAAAGCGACGTCGAAATACTTCGAGCAAGAAATTTGGAACAATTTGTCGAAGCAAAATTCTTTTGAAGATCGGCGACTGAATTTGAAATACCATAAACTGGAAAAGGACGAGTCTATTACAGTTAGATCATGGAATCAGGAACAGCTGGTCATGCTGAGGAGGAATAAAAAGCTGCACAGCCTCATGGACATGAATTACTCAAGATACCTCACTCTGCCAACGTTAACCCCAGCCCCGCGCTCCCGCTCAACAACTGATTATACTCGAGGAAATACTGGATTAGGGTTGCCATCTGATGTACGATCACGGCCTCGTTCACATTCAGATCATTCGAAAAGAGACAGGCCATCGACGAAGCAGCCGAAAAGACAAGAGGAGGTCAGTTTTCCAGCCGTTTCCACCACATTGAATGTACGGAGCTCACATTCTGCTAATTCACAGCGTTCAAGCTTATCAGATAGCGAAATAACAAAACAAAATAGAACGAGTTGGACTCGACCATCCACCCAGCTTCATAAGAGAGATAACATCACGCCTCGGCTGTGACTAGTTTCACCAAACTTTAAAATTAGGGATCATTAGTTCACTCGTGGAAAACATTGCTTCGTCTTAGTAAAGAAATGATAAAAGCTGATAAAACTCACGGATTAATAACATTCCAATCAAGTTGTCGATGCACTCAGCCATTCAATGGAAAGTGGTTCAACCCGCAAATCAAGTTGAGATGTTGGACCTCGATAAACAAAGCGAGATAGATTCAACTTGTTTATTTAATTTCAACGAGACGAAAAAATAACAGATATTTTAAAACACACATTTTGTTACGGCTCCAGTGAAAACTAATAATTATGACAATAATTAATCCTATGTAATCTTCTTAATTTAACAATGAAAACACAAACTACAGATATTTTCACGAGACAAACATGAATTAAAGCTACTGTTTTGATGGAAAAACAGCTCGATCGATCGCATTAGAGTTTTTCTTACTTTGATAAAAAAATCATTCCCGGTGTGTGAGCTGTAAATAGTGTCCCCAATAAGTTTTTTTAAGCTAAATACTATTGACACTTTAATAAATAAAGTCTTTCATTCATTCATTCATTCATTCATTCATTCATTCATTCATTCTTTCTTTCATTCATTCATTCATTCATTCATTCAGCTGATGGTTTCTATTCAAGCAACAGAGCACTTTTTCCGCGTTTACATAGCCTCATCTAAACACGAGGAGGGTTGGGAGAATTCTCACAGCCCCGCGAGTGTTTAGATGAGGTTATGTAAACACGGAAAAAGTGCTCTACTGCTTTTATAAAATAATTCTCAAAATTAGCGCGAATCTAAAACGTCACAACCGCGTTTACATACTCTCATTGACCAATGAGAGTGCACGTAGTAGCTCAGTTTTTATAAAACTACAGGTTCATGAACTATTCATTACATAGTTTTGTCTGTTTAAAATTTTCAAATCAACAATTCTTGTGCTCGTACTAGGATGGTTATATCAACGGCTCTCGATTACTTTTCAACAGCTCTGTTGGACCACCATTTATTATCTTAGTTTCCCTGACAACAGCAGGGCGGATCCTGAACTTGAGCTAACGGAGGGAAGGGCGGTTTTGTTTGCTTGCCCTGCCGGCTTTTCTTCCTTCTGCGATTTTTTTTTACCCAAAATAGGGGGGCCGGGTCCCCTGGGCCCCTACCCTAGGTCCACCACTGAACAGTGCTGTCTCGGGTCAATCTATGACTCACTGAAACAATCGACCAAAAATGTTACAATATTGATATTTCAACTCATTGATTATTAAATTACTAAATATCAAACTTACAAGGTCTAAATATCGGTTAAGAGACACATAGACAGACAGTCAGGCAGATAGACGGACATCCAAGTCCGTCACAATTCGGTCATTCATTCTTAATAAGGCCTGCAGCAATGAGCGGCACCCTCCTCTTCCATTGCCTTTCTCTCTGGCAACATGTAGACTAACTCATCTTCTCAAAGGAAAGCACCGGCCTAACAAGGCTAATGATGCTTATTGTTACGAAGCACGCACTTACGTTTAATTTAGCAGATGTCGTTTGCCGTCCATTTCCCATACATTGGCATATAACAGTGGAAGGTTCTCGAAATAATCCATCTTTTAAAGTTGTTTGATTTAGTAGAAATGTTAAACTACCGGTAGATATCTTAGACAAAACAATTACAGCGGTACACTCATGCAAAACGCATCACTTATAGTTGGTCATAAAACTTCTTATTTCACCTGAGATTCCTGACGACTTCTTTTTTAATGCGCTAAAAATTTGCGGGAGCTGACGTGTTTCTCGACAGGAAATAACTCATCATTAAATTCTTAGCAATAAAACCTCTGAGGGCAAACAACCTAGAAGTTGAAGCAGCTCAGTTGTTAAAGCAGCTTGATCAAATATGGCTTCATCTCAAGTACTTGCAGGGTTCCATACTCTGACAGACGTGATCGGTCTTCCTGGAGATTTGCTAGTAATAGTAACAATCGTCTTGGAAAGACGATTTCACGCCCTGCGGCACATTCTCCTCGCCAGCCTCGCAGTGGCCGATTTTTTATGTTAAATTCTTGTAAACGCATTTCGCATTGTCAGCACAGCACAGAAAATATGATTGCACGGTCAAACAATGTGTTATCTTCATGCATGCCTTTTGGTTTTTGTACTTCTATCTCAACACGGTTCTTCATCTGGTAGCCGTGTCCTATGATCGATACAACGCCATAGTGAGATCGCCTTTGACCTACAATGGCACCATTACCATGTCCGAGGTGGTGATCACGGTTTTCATTTGGATAGCCCCGATACCTTTTACCGTCAACCCCGGCTCCTTGACTGAGGAGTTTAAGATACTTTTATAACTCAGAAGCATTCGTCTGTGTGCAAACGTGGTCAGCAGAGCAGAGAGAGCCAGCCATTCCATATGCCGTTACAATCTTCTCCATTCTTGCACACTTCTTGCTCGTCGTTTTGATGAACTGGTCGGTTTTGAAGACGGCGAACCATTTGCAGGCAGACATACCCATGCTGACTCCGGACACCAGTTACAAGAGAGAGCAAGGAGAATTCGTGAACGTAAGGCATCTATCCGGCGATGTTTGTATGATCATTGGGGGATTCGTGCTGTGCTATCTCCCCATTTGGATAACTAGCCTTTGCAATGCATTTCTCAAGTCGCAAAAGCTTCCAGCCGTGGTCATTCAAATCACAGGGTGTCTCTTCTTTCTGAGTTCGCTGGTTGTGCAACCCAGTCATCTATTCCATTCTAAAGAGAGGCTTTCGGACCCTTTCGAGAAGGTGTCAAGAATGTGTTTAGGCGGATTGGAGTTGGTGGAGGTGCTAACCACATCAAGCAGACTTCAGTTCGTGGTCGGGTTCAGCCCAGGCAGCATGATTTGCACGAATAAGTGTAAGCTTTGGCCGAGTAATCACAGAAGCAGCGCGCCTGTGAAGGACAAAATCAGCACGAACCTCCCAACGCCAAGATGGACGATATTACAAGAGCATGTTAACTGAACACAAAAATAAACTGGCTACGTTTTTTTCCGAATTAATCGGATTGGTGTCATTTTTGTCGTCTGAAACTCAAATAGAGCTGTCCTATGGAAAGTAACGTTGCTTATAGCTAGTTGGTTTCTTGTGCTGCACATATTGCGAAAGCCGTTTCTAAACAGAGGACATAAGGATTTTGCACTCAGATTTTAATTGTTAATCGTTTAAGTTTTCTTAAATTATTGAATTGAACGTTATCTATAGCTGCAACGAAACAAAAATGAAGGCATGTTTCAATTCTGTGTAATGTAAGGCTTTGAATGACAACATTGTTTTAGGTTTCTGTATGACTTTCGTTTTTTGTAAAACTTGGTTCAGTAAGGTTAAAACATTTCAACATTACACATAGCAATTAGAATCGAATTTCTCTTAAACTAATTTCGCTACAGTTCTCTGAAGTCTATTTTCAGTCATTGAAGCAGCACTATTTTAAGACCGTGATTTTATTGAGATACCCCTGCATATAGCTCTTACTCTTTTAACAGAACACTTCAGTTAGGCGGTGAATCTTAAAGTTCAATTAATGAGGGGACTCGAAAAAAAAAACTGAACGTAAACTTTCAAAAGGAAACCCGCTGTACTACGATAAAAAGCGTAGAAATGTACGAGGATGATTTAATGTCAATGTTCGCATCGAAAAATTGAAAGAAACTGACTGCACCTTGAAGATCTCTCAATTCGAATCCATTTTTTGTCAACTTTTAAACAAACTGACAACTTCAGCTATCTGGCGTTAAAAATAATCTTGTAAATCCTGTGTCTTAAATCGTTTCATATGAACGTGATCATTTATTACTGTAGAACTTCGCCTTGTCTTGCTCCTAAATCCCAAGTTAAGACTTTAGATGTGACGAGTTCAGAATGAATTTGTCTTTAGATTCTCTTAGCCAGTCTCCCACCCTGAATTGCTCATATGCGTTTTTATTCCTTCCAATTTAAATGGTCACCGTCACTGAACAAACAATATAATGCTACAAATCAACTCTACGTCTTGCAATCAATCTGATCTGAACAAGCTGAGAGAATTCTTGCACTCATTAGCTGAGAGAGTATAGAGAATATTAAACGAACAGATGACACAAAAATCGACATTTTGAGGGGGCATCATAATCCAAGAATCAAAGAGAGCGCAAAATCGCGTCTACTTGACAGGCATTTAATAA